TATTTCATAGTTTCATATTATTTTATAATTTCATTATATATATATATATATAATAGATATGCAGTCTCGTCTATCTCGTGTGCACCGACGGGTGTCTCGCGAGCAACCAGCTCTGGCCCCGACCACGGAGAAAAATCTTGTAACGTCTATTTTTACACGGAACGACTGGAAATAGTCGAGTTTAATGAAAGGAGGCACGCGATCGCCCGTACGTTGCTCCAGTCATGAATCACGCTTCGAACGTGCACTGGCAACAAGTAGAGAGATCCTCCCATAATGTTCGTATAATTGATCGTACCCAACACCAGCACGATGTAATTTCACTATCGGGCACAGGCCAGCGCGCATTCGCCAGCCAGAACGAGCATACGGATATATATACAGAGGCAAAGACGGGGGGGGTTATTTCAGTCAGTGAAGTTTCAACGTCTTAAAATTCAATCTTCAACTTCGCGCCGGATAATCGAACTTTTCTCCTTTCCCGGAACGAACGGAACTTGTACATCCACGTGGGGGGAGGGGGGGGGGGACTTTCGCCATTTATCACGCCCCGTAACGAGCGAAATTGCGCCACCTTCGAGCGTAAATCGGTTCGAGAAGATTGTTCGTGATCGGATTTTTTTTTCTTTTTTCGGAATTACGAGCGAGACTGCGAGCACACACGTGGAATTTCAACAATATTTTACCGAGTATTTGAGTGTAGAATTAAAAAAAAAAGAAAGCAAAATATGTAGAACATTTTGGTCTTTTCAAAAAAAAATTACCGCTATTTTGACGGATATGAATTGTTTTTCTGGAATCGGAATTTGTTGCACCGTAATTTAAACGAAAGATTCTCGATATTTCAAATTGTTAGAACTTCGTAGAAATCCAGTTTAAAGCGTAAAGCTTCTGTTCTGATCATCCTGAATTTTCCATCGTTTTTTTTTTTTTTTTTAAGACATTTTTACATCATGTAGCAAATGGAAAAATTTTTTTCTTAAAAAAAAAAAAAAAAAAAAAAAATTGTAAAAATTCACACGTACGTGCAAATAGTGAAAAGTTTTATTTGCCACTAAATCCATAGTGGCGTTGAAGATTAAAATTTACAATACGATTCCTTCCCCCGTCACTTTATTGAATATTAGAGTTAAAAAATTCCAACACTTCGTTCGAAATCTAATCTAACGATGTTCAAAGTTCAGTAAAATAATGAAAAAGAAATCAGACAGCGAGTTGCAACGGGGAGACTTCGATCTTCAAAATGACGATGAATTTAATTACAAAAATTTTTTCAACGTTCTCATGTTTGAATTTTGACGATTTTTGAGAAAGAAGTACACTCATTTTCCCTTCACTCGTTATATTATATAATATATTTATAATATAATATATTATAATTATATAAAGTCACG